CAGAGCTCTAGCACTCTCCCGCCCTGGCCTTGCTCCCACGGTGGAGTCTACCTCTTTCCGAATCTGAGCCACTTTATCTGCAAAAAACTTTGCAAAATTATTGTAGGAGATGTTGGGCCCCGATGGCAATGGTGGTTCCGTTAGATTGTGAGCCACCTGAAAGAATCTCCTGCTGCTGTTTTCTGCAGATGCTATCTCCACTTGGTAGGCTCAGCGTTGGGCTCTAACCCATGTCCGGTCTGATTCAGAATGATTTTTCCACCACCAGCACTCTAGCCGTCTTGGCAATTGTTCATCACCCTCAGCCCTGGGGAAAACCACAGCACTGTCTGGGCTCCATGCAGTCGGAGAGGGCACTTTGGAGCCAGACAGTCAATAGCTCTGGTTAACTCCGCATTCCAGCGGACCACCAGGGAATCAGCTGAAAGGCCATCAACATGGGATAAAATATCCCCTACCCTCTGGATCCATTGAGTGGCAGGGGTAGACCATCCGAATCTGTCCCACCTCCATGCATAGAGGAATGGTTGTGGAGAAGTCCAGTTGCACCAGGAAGTGATCTGACCAGGGCACTTCTTTTGTTTCACTTTTACTTAGTGTCAAATAATCCACATCCATAGAGATAAACACCATGTGTAAGGCATGTCCATGACTATGAGTTGGGTCAAACTTATTCAGGGACAGCCCCATGGAGGCCATGCTTTCCACGAAGTCCCAAGTGGCCCTTTGTAAGGTCATGTTGGCATGGATGTTAAAATCCCCTAGGACAACCAAACTAGGTGTCTCCAGGAGAACATCCACCACGACCTAAAGCAGCTCGGGCAGGGAATCCTAGGTGCAGCAGGGAGGTCAGTACACCAGAAGGAATCTTGTACTGCCCCTATTGTCCAACTTCCAGAACATGCACTCAGAAAACTGGGTCTTCCCAATAGGACGCCTGGTGTAAGCTAATGACTTCCTATAAATCACTGCAACGCCCCCTCCCCACCCATATGACCCGGGTAGCTATGCATAAGAGAAACCTGGCAGACAAACAGCAGCAAGAACAGGCCCATCTGCTTCATCCAGCCAAGTCTCTGTTACCAGATCAAGTCCTCCATCCATGACAGCCGTCTTGTGAATCTTTGACCTGACATTGCACAGCAGCACCTTAAGGCCATGTGGGTCTCCCTTGTTGATTCCAATATCCTTCCGGTCAAGACCAGACCCGGAGGCAGGGCTAGTCTTCAAACAACAACTAAACCTGCCTCCATTGTCTGGTCTTAGCGTAGCTCCTCCTCCTGCCTGTGATCACTGAGATTGGGTGTCTCAGTGCATTCTCCCCTGTGGAACTTGCCCCAGCCATTCTGAATCCTTGCCTGGAGTGAGGGGCAGTGGGGACCTGTGGCGGTGATTCTGGACAGGCTTGGAGCTCCCCAAGACTGATCATCTGCCTAGGTAAATCCATAACTGCTGCCCTCAAGGGGCTGAGTTTAACATGTTACTGAAGCCTGGAGGAAAGAGAAGCAGCTGCAACAGTAGGCTGGTTGTTTCTGTCTGTGTTGAAAACTCAGGGAGATGAGTTAACGGCTTTGCAGGGGTGGGTGAAGGCTAGAGAGACTGATGTTTCTCTGGAAAGATATATGCAAGCCACCGCCTGTGACGTTGTAAGGGATTCAGCTGGAAAGAGAGGCAGGAAAAGCAGTTGCTCACCTTTGCTTGTTGATATGTACACAAAAGTGGATGGCTGCAGCACCCTGAGGTAAAAGCTATTGCTCCACCAGGTTGGTCACCATCAGGGTGGGATCCTGAAGCTGAGGATAGCACCTCAACTGACGATGGGGAAGGGGAATTGCCTTCAGGTAGTGAAAGTGAGGGAAGGATGAGGCTGCACATCCTTTGGTGAAGTCTAAAGTGAAACAGCCTCAGGGGCTGCTGCTGCCCCAGCCCCACCAATGCAGGTGAACAGCGTTCACACCTGGTGTGCTCATGGTGATGGTTATGAAATTTCACCAGCAGCCACACAAAACACTGCTGGCCTGGCTGTTACATTTGTGGGATGAACGGGCAAACACCTGCTGCCTTGGTCTTCATTCTCTGTCAAGACAGCAAGGCTTTGCCGACTTTTGACAGTTTGCACCCTCTTCTGATAGAGCATCGGAGCTGATCATTCTGTCATTTTGGGCATCACACGGGCCCTCCTTTGGGCCTGGGGATCAGGACAAGCAGGGAAGAAGCAAGCAAGTGTACTGAACAGACTCTGGGCCATAGCCAGAACTGCGGGTCCAGGCTACACCACCCATATATTAGTGGCATCCTGTATATTAGTGACAAACCCCATGCTGTAGCCCCAGGCAGGCATGAAAAAGAGGAGCCTTACTCATCAGCTATGATTGATATGCCAAGGTTGATGGCAAGTACAATGAAACAATTGCCTGGCTACTTCATCACATACCTAAAGTCACCATGGATAGGTCTATCTGTCATGTGCCACAGCAGTTTGGGCATAAGAATTGGGCTGAAATCCATTTAATTCCATGTATTCTCACTTGCAAGCATGGAGGTGGGATTTATGTTAAAACAAACAGACTTTTCACACTCATTTCAATGGGCACTAAGCACAACTAACTTCGTCTAGAATCTAGATTCAGTTCATTTTCCAAAATCAGGGTTTATTCCTGATGTCTCTCCATGCCCCAAACTCATACTAAAAGCCAGTAAAAGCCCTTAATAAGACTCATGTGTGTTTTGGGTTAGTAAGGAATTCAGGAAATGGCCTTTGATATACATACACTAGTAAATATTTTACTTGATTATGCTCTGGAGTTAAATAATGATTATTCAACTAATAATGTTGTCCTTTGAATTTTTCTGTTACACTTTCAACCTAGCTTTTTAAAAACAATTAAAAATAATTTATGCTGCAATGTTTTAAAGGCTTAACTGGGAGTAAATCTCAATGAATTCAGTGGAACTTCCTTTTGCTGTGGGTTGCATTGCACAGTACTAATTTGTAGTTATGTAGAGCGACTGAAAAAATACTTCTTTGTTGCCTTTGGGAAGCTAAGCTGAAAGGCAACATAAATGTATTATTTACTAAGCAGAAAGAAAAATATAAGACTCTTAAACCAATATGCTGCGAAAGGTGGTCATTTGTATGCCTGTGGTGTTAAGTCTGAAAGAACTCTGACATTAAACTCTTTGTTTTCTTTATGAGTTAAATTATTGGCAACCTTTTTCTACACAGTTCAAATCTGGTAAAGCCACTGAGGGTCAAATACAACTGTTCTGCTTCTGTAAGCCATATCCATATCATGGGAGCATCAACTGGCTATGCTTGGTCTGGGAAAGACTTGCTTGGCTTCATTTACCAGAAGCTGCTCAGCATGGACCTTGAACTTTGCATTCAAGGATCTCCCAAGGCCACCTTCCTAGGGGTGAGCTTCCTGGACAAGGCTTCCTTCTGTGACATTGGATCAACTAAGCCAATGGCAATCAGTGGAGCTGTGGCACCTTGGCTTGTATGGCATCCCAGCCATCAAAAGGGGCAGAGGAGAAAGGGACTTTGGAGAAGACAAATGTAAGCCACCTATTATAGATGGATAGGAAGACACACAAACATTTTGCATACTTGAATAATGTTAGGCACACAAAGTCTTCTGAACATGTTTTCATTTTACCAAAATCCAAACTCAGTGAGTCACAGACTTGTACAAGAGAGCCCTTTGAGGAAACTAAACCCACAATTAGCAAAATAAACACCATAGAGGACACCTCATCCATGTTGTGCTTTCGAATACTTGTTCTTGCAAAGAGGACCAGTTCAGACAGGCCCAGAACAGCTGTTGATGATGATCCTGCTTGCTTATTTGTTCATTTCTTCTGCCTGTCAATTATGATATGTCATTCACAATGGCATGCGTTCTGCCTTAGCACAAGGGAGCTCAGCTTCCATGGAAGGCTTATTAGAAAGAAAAGTGATGAGTGTGCTAGCGTGACCCATTCCCTGCACTTCAACAGCCTAGGAGTTCCCTACCTCTCTGTCACCCCCCTGCAAACACCTGAGGGGAAGCCACAGATCATAGGAAGTTGTCTGGATGGAGGGTCATGCTAATAATGGCTACCAGCTATGGTGGCTATTTCTGCATCCACCGACAGAAGCAGGAAGCCTCTGTATATCAGTTGCAGGAAATCACAAGTGGAAAGAGGCCTTGCTTGGGGGCTTCCCTCAGGCTTCTGCTCAGCTGCTTTGAGAACAGCATGCTGGACTAGATGGGCCTTTGACTTGCTCCAGTCGGGCTCTTCTTATGCTCTACAGTTACCAGATCAGAGTGTTTGCCTATTTTGCTCAGTGTTGTTTATCCTCCAGGCTCTCAGGCAGAGCCCCCCGCACTGCCTGTCCCATCTCCTATTACTTTTTCCTATTACAGTGGTAACTCGGGTTACAGACGCTTCAGGTTACAGACTCCGCTAACCCAGAAACAGTACCTCGGGTTAAGAACTTTGCTTCAGGATGAGAACAGAAATCACACGGTGGCAGCAGGAGGCCCCATTAGCTAAAGTGGTGCTTCAGGTTAAGAACAGTTTCAGGTTAAGAACGGACCTCCAGAACGAATTAAGTACTTAACCCGAGGTACCACTGTATTTAAAAAACCCTGCAGTTAAGGGCACATAGCTAGCATGTCATCTAGTTTTGCCCGTGTTGGCTGTGCTGCAGTCAAGCTGTCATTTGGAGATGATGAGAAGAGGAAATATGCTGTACCTGATATAAAAAGCCTTTGAGTCAGTGGCCTAAACGTAGCAGTAAGAACTTCCAAAAAAGGTATGTTTCACAATTGTCTTTTTTCATAAACAGATACGAATTTGACTTACCCTTGCATCACATGGCACTGTTATATTAATATTTACGTTTCACGCACTCTCTCATTTTGGGAGCGCACCTTGTTGCCAAGCGTGGGTTTTCATTATTTGACACTCTGCTTGCTATCTTCTTGTGCCTAATTTAGTTTTCATCGTAACAGATCATGGTTCTGCCCTTATGTTTTTTTAATCTACATCTGGGCTTGGCTATCGGTTTCCCTGGAAAGGATTTAGGCCATCATCCGCTTCCTGCTTGCTTAAAGGTTAGAACTGCATAGGCAAAATGCTTTCCAACTATTTGAAAATGGATACTTTTAGCTATCTTACATCTGCTGCTGAGTAAATGAGTATGATCTCTGGGTTGCTCAGAAGCAGGATATGTTTAAGATAATACTGTATTATTACTAATACTGGCACTCGTCTTTGTTTTCATGGTGCATCTGCAGCCTAGGAGGCAAAGGGAGGATTGGGAAAGGAACAGGAGATAGAGGAGGAAAGTCCAGGTGCATCAGGTGACCCCTCTCCTCAATCCAGCCCATACATATGGGAGCAGGAGAGTACCACCTCCCCCCCCCAGCCATTCTGCACACCTTTGAAAACAGCCAACACTCATCGGGTATGACATTCACAGGTTGTCCACCTACATGTAGATATGGGGACAGTGGAGAGGGGGAACTGGCTAGATGGGTGCAGGCAGAAGATGAGCCCTTGGTTCCTGGGGCCTCACGTAGGAGCTGCCTGAAGAGAAGCACCATCCACTTCTGACATTAATTCAGGAACACTGCACCATCAAGGACTCCTGACTGCTCCATGGAAATGAATGAAAGGATGAATTATGAAACTTCGTGAATAGTATTTCAGTAATTTATGACACAATACATCCTGTGCAAATCCTACTGCAAAGCTGAGAGCCAGTGTGGAATAAGAGAGTGTTGGACCACTCTCTGGGAGACCAGAATTTTAATCCTCTTTCAGCCTTGAAGCACACTGGGTGACCCTGGGCCAGTCACTCTCTCTCAAGCCAACCTACCTCACAGGTCTGTTGTGAGGATAAAGCAGGGAGGGGAGAACCACCACTTTGAGCTCCTTGGAGGAAATGATAGTATATAAATGTAAATAATAATAACTGTGGTAAATACGAAGTGAGACAACATGCTTCACTCATGACAAGGACTTGAATGACACTGGAGGGGGGGGGAGCAGCTTTGGATGGTGGCAGTGAGACATCCGATGTAAAACAAAAATAGTATAAGGAAGGCATGGGATCCAAACAGGCAGTTGTGACCTTCCAGGTGCTTGACAGCACTTCCTGATTTTTGCTGCCCCAGGAAGGAACTAGAAACAAGGATGTCAAGCACCGCCTGGGATGCTGTACATGACAGGTGGGTTCTGTCTGTATTGGCACCATGTGGGAGCAAGAGAGAAAACAGGCCTGGTGCCAGCAGTCAGTCTGCCTGGGGCCTGGCAAAGGCCCCACCTGCTCAGAAAGATCCCTCACCGGCCTGACTCAGCTGGGCTGCCCTGGGTAAATTTAAATGGCAGCAGCCACACAGATGTGAGTCAGGCTAGGCATCACTGCCAGCCCCACTCTAAGATGGCATCCAGGGTGCTGGGGAGGAGGACAGTCAGTACTGCTGTTGCCCTGGTGATGGCAGGGGGGCAACTGCAACTGCGTGAGGAGGTGTGAGTGCTGTCAGGAGGTCCATAAGGGTCCCCTGAAGGCCGAGGAAATAGAAGGTGGTTTTAACAAGCAAGTGGAATGGTGGGATGGGGATCTTTAGAAGTCAAGTGAGTGGCTAAAAAAATATTGACAAGAAAAAAATATTTGTAATTCCATCTCCTCAGTGTAAAACAAATAATTTGTGCATCTCTTTAGTCTGCCATCTCCACCAATCAGCCTTAGGATCAGTTTACACAACCACTTTGTTTTCAGAAACCAGGAATCTCTCTCTCTCTCTCTCTCTCTCTCTCTCTCTCACACACACACACACACACACACACACAAACACATTTGGTTTTAATGGCATTACCAGTATTTTCAGTGCAACTCAACATGAGCCAGGAAGAAAAAGATATCAGGGATTAGCACTCTCTTTGTATTTTTTTAAAAAATTGTGACAGGGGGATATAGTTGTGTAGAGGCCATAATTCTGAACTCTCTCTCTAAATAGTTCCTGGTTATGACATTTCTTTAAACAAGAGCATGACTGTTATGTGTTGTTTTTTCATTTCAGAAAGTTGTGTGTTTTGCAGGGTGGAAAAATAAAAATATTGATTGATTTTATTTTGATTTAATGTTTGTATTCCGCTTTTCCAACAACAAATGTTGAACTCGAAGTGGCTCAAAATAATAACAATAACATTTATAGAAACCCCAGACATTGTGATCATTATGATATCAGACACAACAACATATAAATAAAACAAAACTGCAGCAACAGATTAATCAAAACAGTTAATACATTTCAATAAAGTCATAGTGACTCATAGTGTTGCCAGGATGCCATTTTGGTTATCAGATGCATTGTTTTGCAACACTGCAATGGATGGAAATGGGATAAGGAGTCACATAATGTCATCAATTTATCTGTCTGTCTTCCATTCCCTTGCAGATATTTATAAACAATGAATGGCATGATTCAGCTAGTGGCAAAAAATTCCCAGTCCTTAACCCTGCGACTGGAGAGAAAATTTGTGATGTTTCAGAAGGAGATAAGGTAAGTTTTCCTTTCTATGGACTTTATCTTTATTTGGGTGTAAACCTCTGCCGCAGGTCACTATCTAGGGGAGAAGAAATAATGGCACTGAGAGATAGCTCACTTGGCAGAACAAGACTCTTAATCTCAGGGTTGTGGGTTTGTGCCCCACGTTGGGCAAAAAGTCTCCTGCACTGCAAGGGGTTGGACTAGATGACCTTTGTGGTCCCTTCCAACTCTACAATCCTATGAAATCAGTCACACGGTGTGGCAATCGTCCAAGGACTGGAGAATCAAAGCCACATTCTGGGGCTGTGTGCACATTACTGTTGACTCCGACTCCACTGCCCTCCCATCACTGGTGTTTAAACCCAAGCACACATGACACTTGCCATAAACTACATTTCTTGATAAATATTGTTGTTTGATGTGTTTTCTCTTAAACCAGCTTCCATCCAATTTGGAAACCTAAGCCACAGCTAAACTGAGGTGTGTACATTTGAAACATCCGTTACGCAGGTGCGGGTGACAGCTTCATTGAATAAGAGTTTGAGGGGCTGCAGGCATGGGGAAATAAATCAGGTGATAAGCATGGGATGAAGCCATCACTATCCCCTCTCTAGTGTGTACAGCAGTGTAAAAATGTGATTTCAAATTCAGCTGGGGAGGGGGTGACCTTGCTGCATTTTAAGCTCCTGATGTGAATGTAGCTGAGGTGAGTAAGGGCATTCTGGCTCAATTGCAAAAAGTCCTAAGAATGGGACTAACCTGACCCAGGATGGGCTGCCTGCTAACGGGACGACTGAGCTGAGCACCCATCCTTGAAACAACAGAGAACTGAAGAAGGGCTCTAAGAAGACAAATGCAACATGTTTTGAACAGATGTAGGGTTGCCACATGTCCGGAATTTGCCGCACGTATCCGGCATGTATGGAAACCCATGTTGGCAGTGTCATTTTTAGCGATTTTTTGTGTGTGAATGTGCCAAAAAAGCTCAACAATTGTCCAGATTTTCACTGTTTGAAATATGGCAACCCTAAAACAGAGAGGACTGTTTGGACTCCTGATTATTGTGTCCAATCCAAGTGAGCTTTTTAAAAAGCTCTTTTTAAAAATAAATCCTGATTCTGAATGTGTGTAGGAGATGCTAGTTACGTGCAGTGCTGATTGGCTAGTGCCTATAATATCATCCGAACTACCCCCACCTTGATCCCAGAGCAATTTCTAAAGAAGAAATATGGATAAACTTCCATTTATCACCAGCTTCTTTCCCCAGATAAAGATTGTTACAAATCAGGTGGGTCCGCTGCTTGAGCAATCTTGAATTAAACTGTGCCAGTGATTTACTCAACATTTGGGGCTCTCATAAGGTTTTAAAAAAGAAAGGTTTACAAACCGTTTATTGATTTGTTTGAGCTTTCTCTCCCCCACCCACAAAAAAAAAACCCTAATGTAGACTGACAATTAAGTAGGCCCTGAATCCAGCAATTTATTTTAAAAAATCAGCTAATTATACAAGTAATTGTAAACTTCAGAGCTTAGTACTTAGGCAGTGAGCCAAAAGATTTTAAGACTTTAATCTGGATGTTCAATAGCGCTAACAAAGAATTGTGCATTACTTTAAAAAAAAAACAACTTGGAAAACCAAAAGGGGATTACAATTCAAAGACACACATGGGAATGGGAAACAGTATCCTTTCAATTAGATTGTTCATTTAGGCTGCGCTCTCTAAGACTAAATGGCTTAAAGCATGATTGCATCTATTTCAAAAATGGTCCATGGGATGTAAAGTACATTTACAGTCTAATATTATGCATGTCTACTCAGAACCAAATCTCAATGAGTTTTATGGCGCTTACTCCCAGGAAAATGTGTATAGGGTTGCAGTGATAGGGATGTACTCCCTGTGGCTGAGGGGTCATAGAATACTGTGTGTGGACCTCACTCCCCACCAGCAAAAAGGAAGGTCTGTAGGTGAGAATGGAAAATTCTGCTGCTGCTAGAAATGGGGGATTAGGAGGCACAGTTGCCCCCTCCCTCAAATGGACTCCTAGTTATGCCTTTCCAGGAGTTTGTTTGCTCAAAACCTATAATAATAATAATAATAATAATAATAATAATAATAATAATAATAATTTATTATTTGTACCCCGCCCATTTGGCTGGGTTTTCCCAGCCACTCTGGGCGGCTTCCATAGAAACCAAAAACCCCACTAAAATATCATACATTAAAAACTTCCCTGAACAGGGCTGCCTTAAGATGTCTTCTGAATGTCAGGTAGTTGTTTATCGTTTTGACATCTGATGGGAGGGCATTCCACAGGGCAGGCGCCACTACCGAAAAGGCCCTCTGCCTGGTTCCCTGTAGCTTTGCTTCTCGCAATGAGGGAACCGCCAGAAGGCCCTCGGCGCTGGACCTCAGCGTCCGGGCAGAACGATGGGGGTGGAGACGCTCCTTCAGGTATACTGGGCCGAGGCCTATCAACACAGGACACTTTTAAAAAACTTAAATCAAGCATTTAACTTTGAACAAAAATCCTCTGCTACTCACAGCAACAACAAAAAGTCCCAGAATTCTTAAGTGTTCTGCAGGCAACATTTAGCACAGCCTCGCGTCTTGCTCATGGACCTAGAAAAACACAGAGATAAAGAAAAAACAGATATAAGTTCAGAAAAGGATATCAACAGCAGAGTGAGAGAAGGCTTTGTGGGGCCCTGATCCAGCTCAGGGGGTTTATTGGCATCACACTGGCTGAGGGAAGGGGAAGCATCCTCTGCCTCACACCTGCTACTACACACCTCTAGTAAATAATGTCTGCATGTCAGCACCTGGTCACAGTTTTTAGCACCTATATTACATCCATGGTTTTTCGAGGAAGAAGAAGGCAGGATGGAGCAACAAGGATGTGGTATTCCCAGGGTTGCACTGGCAGTGGCATATGTAAAGCTGGAGATGCACTACTCAGATTTCACTAGAATTCATGTACCACTGATATGGTTCAGTCAAAATAAATTGAGCATCATATGCTTAATACTTACTGCATTTAAATGGATTTTCTGTACAGGCAGATGTCGACAAAGCTGTTAAAGCAGCAAGAAAAGCTTTTGAACTTGGGTCCTGCTGGCGAACCATGGATGCTTCAGAAAGAGGAAGGCTATTGAACAAACTAGCTGATTTAATTGAAAGGGATCGTCTCCTCTTAGCTGTAAGTCTAAAACATGGACCACATTTTAAGCAATTGAAATATTTGGAGACTGGCTTATTCTGAACACAATTGAGTATTTGCTTCGATGTTGTGAAAGACAAATTCCGAAATCTGTTTTAGAAAGTCGGGGAAAGTTGGTAGGGATGAACATTCATTCTAAGATACCTCAGCTGATCAAACAGCATAGTAATATCTAACCACAAACAATCCCATCCTCAGAAACAATGGCTTGTTGTTGTGTTCTGCTTGACATTGGATTTAGACTAGTCTTCCTTTCTGTATTTAGCAAAACTGACAAAGTTGGCTAATGCCATTTAAAGGTCATGTCTCCCCACTGTTGCTGTAGAAGAAGAATAAAAGGAAGCTGTCAATTAGAGCTCCTATAGTCACTTTGAAAGCAAAAGTTGCGATGGGTGAGCAGTCACACATCTCCTCCACTGCGCCAAATCAGTCAGTGTGCTTCCAACTGACTCTTGACTTCTATACCCATCTAGACCATGGGTGGGGAACTGTGGTTCTCCAAATGTTGTTTGACTACAGTCTACAACAAGTGTGGACAACCTTAGGCCCTCTGGACATTGCTGAACTGCAACTCGCATCAGCCTAAACAAATGTGGCCAACGACTAGGGGTGATGGGAGTAGTAGTTGAGCAAACATCTAGATGGTTCACAACTACCAACATGCTGCCTGGAGCTGATGGAAGATTTAGTCCAACAGCATCTGGAGAATTGCAGCCCCTCCCTCCCCTGAAAATCTGGAACTATGGCATATATATAAGTATGTTAATTTTTGGTTTGATACCAGTGTTGCTATGTCAAGAATTGCTTTGTTTAGCTATATCCTGCCAGAGTTCTTCATCCGTGTGGTGCTGTGTCAGCACTGCAGCCTCAGATATCTCAAAATCATCTCCAGTTGCTCTTCTCTGGTGTCTGATAATCAAACATAGAATGTTCAATTCCATTCTTAAAATTTTAACCTGTTATATTTAATGTGAATGATCACTACTAACATATTTATTGTCTAAATACTACATAATAATTGAAAAAAATATTTGGCCCTGTAACCTGAGAGAAAGAGATTATCATCTCCCAAAGAAGGGGGAAATTGCAGAAATGGAACAAACTCATGGGCTTATCTCAGATAATGTGGATGTATTTGCCGGCAGTGGAAACTAACCTTGGGTTTAATCATTTCTTTTCTACTATTTCCTTAGCCAAGAACAACAAATCTACTGTTAGGCTAAAATATGTTTATTTTTCCGTAAAGACACACCTTACTAATCACAATTCTTTCAAGCAGGCCCATCTTCTTGTTTTGAATTAGTTCTGCACTTCAAACACTACACATTGAAATCCTTTCAATATTTTTGGGTAGTTTGTCTATTCTTACAGTGTATTTTTACGCATGTCTACTCAGAAATATGCCCCATTAAGTTTAATGGGACTTACTCCTGGGTAATTGTGTATAGGATTACAGCCTTACAGTACACTCCTAAGCCCACTGATCTGTGCTGCTGGAGGGGTCAGGATAAGGCCATGTTGGCCCTCCACCTGACTCAAATGCTATAGATTCCCCCACTGAGCCTAGCTGGCCAGGAAGCCACCAAGAGTGGTTCTCCTACCAGCAAGAACGAGGGGTAAAGCCTTGAAATAGGCAGAGTAATGATGGCTTTGGATCCACTGGATTCATAATCCTGCATATCCCCCAAGGGGTTCAAAAATGAAAAGCCATTGTGAATGGGTGATGTTTTGATTCAGGATGAGGCCACCAACCAAATGATTCCAGGATCAGACTAAAAATTGAGGCTCAGAGGAAGGGGACAGAACTAAAATAACATCTAACCACATTTGGGCTTATAAATGGTTATAAATTACCTATCATTCAATGCCAAAAGATACTTTTTGGACAGAGATGAACAATGCTTCTTTTTGTGGTATGTGTGTGTGGTTTTTTGTTTTTTGTATATTTGATATACTTGTTTTTCCCAGCTGCTGTAAACCTTTTGGAAGAGAGCACATTAAAAGTTTATGACTGCAAATTCTCTGCACCGTTAAGCTATTAAATCTCACTGAAGTCAATGGGATTTGTACAGCCTAAGTGTTCAGCCTAAGTAAAGTCATAAACAACTCGGTTGGGACTTCATTCAACATGCAGTCCTTTTTTGTTCTACCAAGAGGCAAATTTTACTCTAGAAATCTTTCTGGTAACATCCTTTGTCAGAATTGTGTAATGAAAGATTGGCAGAACTTAATGTTTACTTCATCCTGCAGTGTTTGATCACAAGGCACAAAGCAGCCATTCTGGATCAGCCACTTAAAAAAGAAGCCCAGTGGGTTTTGCCAAGAGCTGGTCTGTCATGAGTTAAAGATTCATTTTTCTGCAAGCACTTATTGTGCAAGACATGCCCATGCCTTATACAACGACCAATTGCTGTGTCATTTATTTGTATTTTTGAACGTACGGTTAGTGTGCTACATTAGGACTTTGATGCATACACTAGATTAGTGTCTACAGGCCACACGGAGGGCGATCCTACCAGTGCTACCTTCAATGCCCACCTTAGTTTCAACAAGATGCCAGGCCTATAAGCCAGAGTTGCAGAATAGTAGCCCTCTGGATGTTCTTGGATTCCAGCTCCCATTAGCCCCAGCCAGCATGGCCCATGGTAGGGAGGATGGGAGGTCACTGGTTCCCAAACCCACCCACCCCCCACTGCACAATGCTTAGAGCACTCAATGGTTATAGACCACCATATTGTTTTACTTATTTATAATGATTAATTACTCAACCTATTTTGTTCTAGACAATGGAGAGCCTTAATGGGGGTAAGCTTTTCCCCACCTCCTACTTAATGGACTTAGGCGGCTGCATTAACACTTTGCGCTACTGTGCAGGCTGGTCGGACAAAATCCAGGGACGGACCATCCCAATGGGTGAGTCATTCTGATAAAAAGTTTCTGAGCAGAGAGCTGATTTGGATGAGATGTTCAGTAACATTTTTCAGCTACATGAATGTGTCATCTGAGAAAAGTGTAACCTTAAAAATCCGTTACATAAGTGCAGAGCTGTGGTGGGTAAAGTTTTATCAGCCAATATTGCCTCTTTTAAAAAAAACCACCACCACCAAAAAAAACATGGTTGACATATTTTGTATTACTTAGTTCCATAATGCTTTTTAGTGAAGTTCCTACAGCTGCAGCAAATGGCAGAGTCCTGACAGAAATAATTTTTAAAAAGAGGTCAGCAGGTCTTAGTCATCACCCTTCTTCCATCCCTAGGTCATGTTTAGGAGTAGCCAATTCTTATATCATGTTTGTATATGATCCTTATATTAGGATTTCTGCTGCACGGTGGTCCTGCTAACAGGAAATGTCACCATTGATTCCATCCATCCCACTTGATTCAGATATTACAGCTGGTTAATTGGACATCTGGGCTAATTTAAATGCTTCACTGCCCTCCTGACTAGCTGCCAATTGGTTAGTTTGTTCTCTGCCTTTCCCCATCTATCTGTTTTTTCCTTGTGAGCAGTAACTTTAACTCCCTGCCATGGCAATTTTTTTATGTTTGTGTTGTTAAAATTATCAAAGTGGGGGGGGGGACTCTGCAGCCTTGTGCTATGGCAAAATACAAGAGCTGAAAGATCTCTCTTCTACATGATTGCTTATAGAATTGGAACATTCATTCTGCCCTCCAACCTTATGTGTTTGGTCGAATCTAGATATGTTTGATCGAATCTAGATATGTTTACCTTTTCTTTTGATAGTATCATATTATAATAGTATGGAACAATGCTGAATAATGTGAGACATTTTCTTTTCCTTAGCTATGCTTGCATCTTACCCATGTGTTCTTATCTTACTTAGATGGAAACTATTTCACATTTACAAGACATGAGCCTGTTGGAGTATGTGGACAAATTATTCCTGTAAGTTAGATCCATTGATATAATGGAGAAAATGGGTTGCATCCAACATTGACCTTGCAAAAGCAGAAGTCTTTCTGTTTGTCTAGCAGAGGCTTCTGCTAATGGAAAAGGTGGGGTGATGTTGTCTATTTCCCCTCCTCCCTGCAGAGTAGACCACCTTGCATGCCCTTTTTGAAGGTCCCCAACCCTCTGGAGCAGATTTTAAGGGCATAATGGAGAGGAAGAATTGCCAAAAAAAGCTACTGTTACTTACCTTAGTAGAAGCCTCTACTAAATGAAATGTTTGTCTACAAACAGAATGACTCCTTCCATTCACAGAAGGGGATTTTGGAAGCAACCGTGTGTCTTTTATTTAAGTAGCATTATGCTGATTCTTTTAAAAATAGCATAACTTTCCCCCCACTTCTGCAGACGTGGATAAAACTTCCAGGTACAACAGCCCCTTCAGAGCAGATAAAGCCTGCCTACTAAATTGCTAACAAATAGGTCCAGGGGCTTTTGTTCTCTAAAATATGCTTTCTCCAAAAAATAATCCTTCTCTAACTTTTTTTGTGGGGAGCTGAATTTGATTAAATTTCAAAGCATGGTTGCTCCTTCTGAATTCTGCCAAATTTCAGAATGATGGAGGGTAAAATAGAAATCATTAAACATCCCTTAATGTTTTGTGAGCAATCAGTCTGAAAACTGTGGACATCAGCCAAATTGCAAACAAGAGGGTCTGCAAAGAATCTTGAAAACTGCAGTTTATCCCCAGAAACCCAAAGCATTCTGGGAACTGTAGTTTACCCTTCACAAAGCTACAATTCTGGCACTCTTAACAAACAGTACTTCCCATCATTTTTTTTGGAGGGGCAGAGCCATGGTGTGGATGTTATCTAGGTTTTCCATGTGTTGATGAGCAGAGTGCATGTGTCATTGTCACATCCTTGATGCTGCCTTCTCTTGGTTAGATAGACAGGCCGCTCGCAATCATAAAGACCTTACACACTGATTGCAGCTCAGCAGTCAACTGTGTTGTAATATGATTGAGACCCCAAAAGGAGCTATTTTCCTGCTTCAGTTCCTGCAAGAGGTCTATTTAACAAAGGGAATCGGGGAGGGAGCTGTTTATCAGTTCAATTAACACACTTCCAGTTCAGAAGTTGTTTCAGGGTTTGGAAAGAATGAGTTTATCTTCCATGAACTGGAAGGGTGGGTCTGCTTAGCAGATGTCATAACCAAAGCCCAGGAGGTGTTCTCAGGGATGCAAAGATAGCGTCATCCTAGGCCACTGCCACACAGAGAATGGGGAGCCTTCTGTGCAGATCTCACAGGCGGCAGTGGTTCTGTCATCAGGGTCAGTCCATGAGATAAGCCCTGAGCCAGCACACTGAAAAGACAAAGGGTCCACTTGGGCTCACTTTCACCAAATCCTCAAGCCAATATTGACTTTTCATCGCTTATTGAATCTGAAAATGCACAAGACCCACAGAGCATTAGGGAGCATAAAGGATGTGAAGAGAATATGAAAGATAGGGGAATGTGTTGCTGTAATTTGTTGGTCATCTGTTCTTGTGCTGCCTTTTCAGTGGAACTTCCCCCTGGTTATGTTTGTCTGGAAGATTGCCCCTGCTCTTTGTTGCGGAAACACCGTGGTCGTCAAGCCGGCAGAGCAAACTCCACTAACGGCTCTTCACATGGGGTCTTTAATTAAAGAGGTGAGTTGCCATAGCAAAGCTGCCATGTGCATGTTCCCAAATGTGAATGTGAGTGAGCCCTTACCTTCGCAGGGCTTCTGAACAGTGAGGGCTGTTCTGTTTTGTGTCAGTGCAGCTTGCAGCATGTCTAACCTTGTCTTGGGGAATTGTAATGCACTGCAAACCACTGAAGCAAGTCAAGGGCATGAAGCCTCACATAGCTTTCCAGTCTAAATTGCTCAGAAAACAAATCATTAGCAGCTTAGCAAACTGAACATCTTGGCAATCATCAGGGCCTTCTGGAAGCAAAAGCAAACAAGAGCTCAGAAAAGCAGAATGTTGGTCTGGAGGGTGGGGGCGGGGGAGGTGGTTTTTCATGCAAGTATCTCAGTAATGAAACTCTTGTCTGTAATTTGAGATATTAATTTAACTTTGTGACTGAAATATTTACCCTACCAAGCACAAAACTGACAAGCATCATGTTTGGTGTGCCCAGGATAAATGCACACCTTATAGGGCTGTAATGCAAAATGTCTTTGCTTAGAAGCAACTCTCCTTCAGACCAGTAGGATGTAGGCTAGATGCACCAAGGCAGCCAAATGAGATGGTAACGAGGGAGACATAGATCTGCTGGTTTTCTTCTTGCAGGGAAGGAATAGTTTTTGTTTTAGTGCAGAAGCATTGAACAATTGGATATGCCACCTGCAATCCAAAGTTCGACAGCCCACTTTCTAACCTTGGTACACTCTCCCACTCCATTCTGCTGCATGTAGAAATCAGGCTGCATTAAGGACTCATCTTGCCCCATGCCTGGAAAGCACACATCTGAGCAGTTTTCCACTTGGCCCATGCCTCCTAGGCACAGATCAGAGAAGTTTCCCCCTTGCGCAACAACTCTCCCATGGAAAACTGGCTCTTTGGTGCTAAATCGGAGCAAATGTCAATCCAGAGAAAACGTGAATTGCTGTTTGCACCGATTGAGCACTAAGGAGCGGTTTTCCCTGCAGGAAAGCCGTGAAACAAGAGGAAGTGTGGATAAGCCCTAAGTTTCTAGAAAACATAGTTAGAACTGGTGTATGAAAGCAACAGGTACAATCATTTTTAAGCATTCTTTTGGATTCTTCAGCACAATGGTATTTGCTATGCAACCTGGAGTGAAGAATAATCTTATGTGGTTCCTGAGCAGAAAAATAAGCTAAGAATACCGCCAGCATGGAGAGGTAACTGGAGGAGCTAAGGCTAAGGTGGTTGTCTTTACCATGCTTACTCAAAGGCAAGTCCTGTTGAAGTCAATGGAGCTTACTCATGTAGGAGGTTAGGTTTGAAACTAAAATCTTTTCCCTGTTCCCTTTTGTACAAAAGTGAGGTTAGGTTTGTACAAAAGTGAGGTTAGGTTTGCAACTAAAATCTTTTCCCTGTCCCCTTTTGTACAAAAGGAAAATAAACTGAAGATAACTGTGGTCATGGCAAGTGTTGCTAATAAGTAACCAACCAAAGAACTAATAAAAGTGATTCAGCATATCTTGTTCTTGCCACGGCAACAGTGACTCAGCAAAAGTGAGCAAACAGTGAAATGCCACTTGCAATTAAATGGTTATGTGTCAACAAGTAACTCTGCCTGCAACGGGTGACTCACACTGAAAATCACCATTTGGAATTCACATTTATTTTATTTTTTGGTATTCACTGGCATTTCTCTTCTCCACTTTTCATAAAGCAATGAGAGTCTGCTCAAAAGTCATAGATTGTCAATAAATGAATCCTTAAAGACCAACATTCTAATATTAAGGGTGTCGATCATGTTATGGATATTAACAGATTTTTAAACAGATGGAGCCCTTCTGCTGAATGAAGCCTGAACATAAACAATGCAGCATTCCAGGGTGGGGCAAGATGAAGGGGAAGGGGAAAGGAAGTGATTCTGTAGTAGACAGAGAATTTTCTTCCAGCTGAATAGGTTTAGTTTTGCAGCCACCAAAACGGAATAACCATGGAAAGGAAGAGAGACCCAGAGTGTTTTCTGTCCTCTTACCTCACTGGCTGCTGATAGGACAAGTCTGAGATCATGGTTCTAGTTATTTTCTAATGCCAGTCTTGGATTAGTGGTCTAGGCTTCAGATCCTTACACACAGTCCCAGGGTTTAAACTAAACCTGTTGAATAATATCGAGTGCCTCCAGTTTAACTTGTTTGTGAATCAATGATCCATGATCTGGAAAGTTCCAGAAAAGTTCTGACTTTATGCTACCAGAAGGTTCACCAACTACCTTTGAACTTGAGCCCCCTTCAAAGCTTATTGTACTTTCTAAGTCCCCAGCCCATTCCTGGTCAACTCCCCAAGAAGCAAGTGAACAAAATCCTTCTACAGTGTGCAGCTGTGCATGTGTGTGTATGTAAGACTTGGAGAACACCCGGACCAGGACATGACAGATCACAGGACCTCTGATTCACAAGCCAGTCAAACCACATAGTTTAAAAACCTATGCACTCACTCAGCTTAAAAGACAATACTAGTACAACCGATTTTTCATTTGGGCTGTATTCAGTGGCATGAAAACAAAGACTATCAGGCACTAGTGGCATGTTCTAGGCCAGAAAAAAGCCTCACATTTTAAAATAAAGATGCCCTTTTCATCACAGACTATATGCTGAGAAGGCAACAGGTTGCTTTATAAGGCAATCTGTCAAATATTTTTTCTTCACAACAGAGCCTCTTTCAAGTCCAATGCATTTGCTAAAATTAATTGCAGCAGCACAGAATCCACTTTGGCATGGCTCTGCCCCTCGCGACACCCACAGCTTGTAACTTCAGTTCAAACAGAAATCTGGTGGGCAGGAAATGGTTGCTTCCGAGGTGGCCTCTCCTTCCCAGTGATGCAAATGCAGGTAATAATTGCCAGCCCTTGTGGTTCCTATATAGGGATCTTTACTAGGACACTTAGGGATCTGGCTACATGGAAGAGGCACTTTTGCCACAACTGTTATGTGTGAATCAGACCTTTGACTAATTAATCAGGCTTTGATTGCACTGTGTTCCCATCAGGAACAGTTTGCTACCTAACAATAAGGATACTGAAGTGAATGTTCCATGCATACTTTTAGAGTCACAGGGGAATAAAGCACATCCATGCTTTTTTTTTTTAATCTTTTTATTAAGTTTCCTTTATCAAACACATACAAAAAAAAGAAACACGTGCACTTAAAAATTAAAAAGAAAAAACGAAAAACAAAAATACATCTGCTCCATACATACAATAGCAGAATAGATTACAAAAAAGGCACTGAAACATAAGAAAAAGAAAAGGACGAAGAAAAAAGAAAAAAAATTATAAAGACAAAAAAATTGATACATATAACAGTTAACATAAAACATCGACTTCCTTCCCTACTGATTTCGGGTTTCTACTTTTAATAGTTTCAATTTTACAGCTGGTATTAACTTTTGGTTTAAACATCGAAAGTATTATAACAAACCTGCTATAGTTGGTAAGTTTCTAAAATTACCATCAATATAGACCATGAATTTGTTCCAATCTTCTTTTAACTTTGTATTTTTTTGGTTTCTCATTCTTTGCGTCATTTTTGCCATTTCAATAAAGTCGTATAATTTTAGTTGCCAATCCCTCACCGTTGGTAGATTTGTACTTTTCCAATTTTGAGCGATTAGCATTCTGGCCGCTGCTGTTGAGTACTGAAATAAGGTTTTGTCTTTTTCCCGAATTTCATTCCCAACAATCCCTAGCAAAAAGGCCTCAGGTTTTTTGGGGAATGTGTATCTAAGAATTTTTTTTAGTTCGTTGTATATCTGATTCCAAAATTTTCTCGTTTCCTCACATTTCCACCACATATGTATAAAGTTTCCTTCTTTTGTTTTGCATTTCCAGCAGGCCTTGTTGCCAGTCTTGTACATCCTATTTAGTTTTTCTGGTGTTAAATACCATCTGTATATCATCTTCTCTAAATTTTCTCTGATTGCAGCGCTTGCCGTAAATTTTATTCCCTCATTCCACAATTTTGACCATTTCTCATATTCTATATTATGCCCCAGATCTATCGCCCACTTGACCATAACTTCTTTGATTTCTTCATCTTTTGTGTCCCATTCCAATAATATGTTGTACATTTTAGATAATAACTTAAATTTGCTTTCAATAATTTCAATCTGAAATTTAGATTTCTTTTCGTTCATTCCTGTTTTTTTATCTTCTGTCCATATTGCATTGATTTGATGGTATTGTAGCCAGCCCGTCAGCTTCGCCTTTAGCTCCTCATACGGTCTTAATTTCCAGCTGTCTTGAGATCTTACCAGTAAGTCTTCATATGTCAGTTTTTGCTCTTCTAGATTTGTTTTTTTGATTGTTAGGATATCTGTTGGTGACAACCACCAAGGTGTTTTCCATTCTAACAATTTTTTGTTTTTTTCCCAAACTTCGTACAAGGGACCCCTAATAATGTGGCTCGAGAATCCTTTGTGTATTTTTTCTTTGTTAGACCAGAGGTAGGCATGCCAGCACATACCTATTATCTGCCCCTTCTAAGTCCAATAAATCAGTGTTTTCCAAAGTTATCCAATCTTTGACCCAGCATAGGCAGGCAGCTTCATAATACAATTTTAAGTTAGGTACTGCGAGCCCTCCTCTCTCCTTTCTGTCTGTAAGTAATTTAAATCTGATCCTTGGCCTTCTTCCCTGCCAAATAAATCTTGATAAAGTTTTCTGCCAATCTTTGAATATTTTAGACCCTCTGATAACCGGTAGATTTTGGAATAGGAACAGCATCTTCGGGAGTATGTTCATTTTTATCGCCTCCATCCTGCCCAACCACGAAAGATTGACCCTGTTCCAGACATCCATGTCTTTTTTAACTTCGTTCCACGTAGCCGAATAATTATCTTCAATTAAGTTTATATTTTTTGGTGTCAGCCAAATTCCTAAATATTTTATTTTTTTAGCCACTTTGATTCCGTATTGTGTCTCTAATTTTCCCTTCACCTCATTTCCCAGATTCTTTGTTAACATTTTG